GTTTTGCTGCCTTTGAATAATACTTTATTTCCAATTCCAGGATGGAGCTGATTTACTAGTTTGTGATGAAGCCCATACTATTAAGAACACCTGGGCTGATACAACCCGGGCCTTGAAACAAGTGAAGTGTCAGAGGAGGATTGCCTTAACTGGATCACCACTTCATAACAATCGCATGGAGTACTACCGTCTGAGATATTGTTTTTGTTAAAATTAAGGCTTTAGAGAACAACTTGCTAATCCCTTGGATTAGCCTTTCATTATATAGACAATACTAAGGAAAGAGAATCAATTACAAATTGCACATTAATGCTCCTAATTAATCCCTCCTAAACTATCTCCCATGGAACATTCCCGTAATATTCCAACTCACACAAACGCATGCACTAACAGTTTTAAGCAAATTATCTCTTTTTCCAATATATTTTACACAGTTTTATTGGGTTTCCTTTGGAACAGATGGTTGATTTTGTAAGAGAAGGTTTTCTTGGCAGCAGCCATGAGGCTATTATCCACATTCTTCCCTGTCTCTTTTTATTTTTATTTTTATTTTCATTTTGATGTAATCTTGGTTTTCTGTATATCCAGCTTCCAGTATCCAATAGAAAATGGTCAGCACACAAATTCAATACGTAAAGATGTCAAAATTATGAATCGAAGGTCTCACATCCTTTATGAACAATTAAAAGGATTCGGTCAGAGAATGGATATGAGCATGGTGAAAAAAGACTTGCCTCCTAAACTGTCTTTGTTATTGCTGTAAAACTTTCTCCACTACAGAGGAAGCTTTAGAGAAAGCTTTACAAGAGATTCCTTGATGTACATGGATTTACAAATGGCAGTGCTTCTAATGAAAAAAGGAAGAGTTTTTTTGCTGCGTACTAGGCCTTGGCTCAGGTATCAGTTTATACAGCTTGTTCTTTAAGTTTATAAAGCTGCTTTATCACATGGATGCATGCATGCATGCATGGCCGCACAACCCCTGTCGGTGTTAAGTGATTTTGCCTTTAAATTATGGATGGAAACAACTCTCTGATGACTTGGGATCAATATGTCCAAAATTTTGGTTTTGGCTTGTTTGTTTATTAATGGACCAATAAAAAAAGAACATTGAGGTAAATCCAGTTAACCAAGTCGAATATGTAGAGATGTATGGAAAACTTCAAAGCTGAGCTCAAATCACTGCGGTTCCACATTGTCCTGTTAGTCTTACCAAGAGTTGTCCAAGATTCTTCACATGCAATATCCTAGAGCATTAACTGATGCAACAAGGATCTTCAAGCCTAATGTGCTTCTGGAATAAAAATTTTAGATGAAAGTTAATTGTTTTAAAATTTTTATGAAATGGCATCATCAATTACGATAGATGTGCTCCTGAGATTTACTGGATTGCCAAAGTAGATCGATGATATTTTAAAGAGAGCTGGATATACCGTTCTTTCTTAATCCAAATAGTGATGCACTTCAACTTGTTTGGAAAATAATATGCTCTTTACTTAGTAGATATGGAACCATCCTGGGATACTGCAATTGAACAAAGAAGATAAAGGCTATATTAGTCATGAAGATGTTGCTGAAAACTTTCTTGCAGATAACAGCTCTAGTGATGAAAATATAGATTATAATGTGGCTGTTGGAGGTATTCACTGTTTCGCTTTCTTGTTTCCTTAACATTTTTAACATGTGGACATTTCATACGTGCATGCTGAATATGTTAGTTTTAAATTTATGGCTCCACTAGATAAGGTTGATTTTTTTATGAATGCAGTGAACTGATGTTGCTTGGTCTTAGAACCGTATGCTTATTTGTTCTCATGATCTGTGTAATTTGGGGGGTACCAGTTTTGTGTCCTCGCACTTGCTTTGAATTTGGAAATATCTCTTTTGAAGTTTGGATAGAATAATGCACACTCATTACTAGTTAGATAAATATAGAATAGGTTTCAACTTATTAGCTTGGATGAGTGCAACATGTGTGTTGATTTAAGAACCAATTCTCTTCGCCATAAAAAAAAATGGGGGAAGGGGGAAGATCAGATACATACTCTGTCTTTTGAGGGTGTGAAATTGCAAATTTAGAATAAGCCAATTGCACAATCTGGTGAGTTTCCAGGTCTGGTCTGCTTTGGTCTTACTGCTTTCACGAGCCAGGTAATGAATGCTAGCTGGTCATGTCAGTAAATTTGGCAGTATATTCTGAAGACAATTTTTGACTAATTTGTAGTCAATGAGTATTGAAGTTTTGCAGTTTCTTCATCCATTTCAAGTCATTGAGACATGTTGATTGTTTATAGAATCATTGGATAGCTTTCTCTATTCAATCATAGGTTTTCATCTGTTTAACTTTTGTGGTTAAATGGTTTTGCGTCATGATTACAGAGAAAACAAGGAATATCAATGATTCTCTGCACAAGAAAAATGAATGTGGTTTTATTCAAAAGATATGCGAATATTTATTTGGTTTTATTTGTTGTTAGTGTCTGTGATAAAACTTCATTAGACAATAGCATGTCTATATTAAATTTACTTTCTTATCATTCTGATGCTTGAATATTTACCCTTACTAGGGTTGGTGGAGAGATCTTCTTCTTGAAAATAATTATAAAGAGCGTGAATACAGTGGCAAAAATGGTTTTGCCGCATGACATCATAAACATGTGTTCAGATTTGGGTGACAAGGCGCTGGTTTTTAGTCAGAGCATTCCAACTCTAGATCTGATATAACTTTATCTTTCAAGATTACCCAGACACGAAAAAAAGGTGAAGTTCTGGAAAAAGGGGAAAGACTAGTATAGGTGCATGTATATCAGTGAAAACTGTTTAGAATTTGTTAAATTTGTTTAACGTCATCCCCCTTTTGACACCGTAACTTTTTGTTAATCCACTTGGTTGTATGGTGAATGTGTGTTTGAATATGACTGCTTTTCTATAAAATGATTTTTGCTGCATATTATGTTGTAAACTTCTCCAAAAGTGTACCTGATTTTGCTGGGAAGCTGGTTTATTTTTATAGCATATTGTGTTCTAAGTTTGTACTTAACAAGACTGTTGTTTGTAAGTGTGACATGTAGTCAGAAATTCTGAAAATAAAGACGCCTCAAACTCTCTTTTCTTTGCAACTTGCCATATAGGCTGGACGGAAGAACAGAAAGTTCTGAAAGGCAAAAGTTGGTCGAGAGGTTTAATGAGCCAATGAATAAAAGAGTCAAGTGTACTTTGGTCTCTACCAGAACTGGATCTTTTGGGATTAATTTATATGCTGCAAACTGTAATTATTGTTGATGGTTCTTGGAAACCTACATAAGATCTTCAAACTATATATCGGGCTTGGAGGTGGGTTTAAGCCATTTATTTCTGTTAATTAAAAGTTAATTTTGACTCTCACATGTTTTAACTGCATAATATGTGTTTCTATTACTGTAGGTATGGCCAGACAAAGCCAGTGTTTGCTTATCGATTGATGGCACATGGGACTATGGAAGAAAAAATTGATAAGCCTCAGGTAAGCGAAACTTTTTGTTCTTCATTGGTTTTTGTTTCTTCAATTACATTTTGACTAGAAAAATGGTGCAAATAGGTGACGAAAGAAGATCTTGCTGCAAGGGTGGTAGATAGACAACGAGTACATAGGACTATTTCCAAGGAGGAGATGTTACATCTGTTTGAATTTGGTGACGAAGAGAACTTTGATACTTTGATGGAACTTAGTGAAGATAATGGAAACCAAAAAAATGACCTATGATTTTGGAAAGTCACTGAAGCAGAAGATGCCTCTCTTCCATGGAAGCTGTTCCTCTGACATTAATGGAAAGTTTACTTGGCAAGCATCATCCAAGGTATTGTCATGTTTTTATTTGTTTATGTCTCTTAATTTCAGATTTTGTTAGCAAAGAATAGGTAAACTCCATTCTTTGCATTGGATTCATGATATTTTTCTGTTTTTAAAAAAATAAATAAAATTATATGCATCTTTATCTGATTCTGTTGTTTGAGTGCTATGTAATACATTATAAAGAAAATTTCTTCGCTACAATCAAATAAGTTTGACATGAGTCCCCTTTTATAATCTGAGTAACTTGTTCCTTATTGATGTATTTAGGTGGATTGCCAATTACCATGAACATGAGACTCTTTTGCAAGAGAATGAAGATGAAAAGCTATCGAAGGAGGAGGAAGATATGGCTTGGGAAGTCTATCGGAAATCCTTTGAATGGGAGGAGGTACAACCAGTATCCCTTGATGAATCTGCGGCAGAGCGCAAGCCTGTTGTTCCAAATGTGCCCCCTCCTAAACCAGAGCCCAAGATGACTCACCTTACACAACCCAAGGGTATTTTTAGGAGTCGCATTGTGCAACGGAAATGCACTAATCTTGCCCACCTGCTTACTCTTAGAAGCCAAGGCACAAAAGTTGGTTGTAGTACTGTATGAGGGGAGTGTGCCCAGAAGATAAGCTGGAAGGACTTGAACAGAGATAGCAAAATGGCAAGGTAACAAAGAGAGTGATAAAATTCTTGTTCGTAATTAGTTTATCAAATGCTATTTATTGTGATTGTCCATGTCAATTCCATCTCCTTTTGAACAGATTTCTTTTTTGGCCCCCTTGCCCATTTACACAGGGATCTCTTTGTTTCTCTTCCAGGGATGGATGGGGGTCTTGGATGTTGTCCTAGTTCTGGTTTCAAAAACTAGATAAAAGGTTGACTTTTTGATATTTTGCAGGGGGAAAGATAGGAGGCAGTGTAAATTTGAATGGCAGGAATTTGCTCACTGTAAATATGAGTTTTAGGACTCATTTTAATGAAACGAGTCATGAAAGTTTTATCTTCTTCTGCTGCATTAAATATCTACCTGCTTAAAATGCTTTAGCTACATTTTTTTTTTCATGTCTTGAGTTTGCGTCCATCCTTGAGGCTTAAACAGTACATGTATCATTGTTTATTGCTTGGCTTTTAGAGCTCATAACAAGTTATGATTATCTGTAAAATTTTATAATCTAAGTAGATATCCATTCAATGTGAGGCCATCGCACAGCCATCTAATACGTTATTTAGATTGCTGAATAAGACATGAAAAGTTACAGGGAGAATCACAAGAACAGACGCAAACAAAGGTTTGACAGATACTTTGAGAGCTTTAGCTCTTTCATTTTTTTTTTTTTCAAATTCAAATTTTGCTCACGAAATTCAAAGATTTCATGGCATATCTGCAAAATCACATACAAGCACAAGCACTAGTACAGGAGCTATAACATAACACCATATTTAAGAATCAACTAGAATGAATGGCAACTGCAGAATTTTTATACAAGTTCCGAGTTCTTTATCAAATTGCATAAGAGAAGGGCTGCATGGACGCATAGTACCTCTGCAATTGACTCATGAACGTGTGGCCTTGTCCCCATAACCAAATTGTACCAGAAGCATTAGTGCATCCTTCGTTCTTGAAGAAGAAATCCAATCATTGTTTCAGCCAACTTTACAAGGGAAGCAATGTCCTTAATTGCATACGGGCTCTTACAGGTCCATGAATACACCAAAACCATGCTCAGTATGACTGTACACTCGAAAGCAGGGAAGATATCGACTTCGCGCAAAGGCATATATGCTGAAACTAACATATTTCATCTCCCATCCAATTATCCTTCTCCTTCGGTCCAGTTGGCCCTTCCTCGCCATAAAGCTCTGTTGGAAACAGGTCAAAGATGTTCTCCACTGAAAATCGAACAATCAATGGGAGCATATTAATTATTTTATCCAGTTCAGATCGTGAATCATATACTATGGTTGGACCCCACTCTCTCATGAACTGCAACCACCATGGTTCTGTGATGACTCCATCTCCAAGATACTCAGCTGCAACAATCTGATATCTAATGCTTGAGTCCACAAAATATTTGCTTTGAGCAGCATCATTCCTAATTCCAATTCCAAGTTTAACCGAGCCTTGAAGGTAAGTCCCGGGATGTGGGAAACTAGCATGTCCGTGTCTGGATGAGTAAACGATTGGCCTGTTACCTTCAATAAATTCCAAGTTGAATGCTTCAACCCACTCACCACCGCTATGCTGTGAGAAGAATACTTGGCACAGTTCTCCAGTGAAGTTGCTTATCCGGAGAGTGAAGTGTTCCCAGTCACCCACATGTTGCCCAAGTTTGTTCATTTGTATATTCATTAACCCAATCTTAAGGTTGGCCGGTCCATTAAAGGGACAAAAAATCCACATCACAATATCAGTAAATGTTCCACCCAATGCTGGTTTTACATGAACATAGAGCTCTGCACTCTCCAAGTTTCCTTTCTTAACATAATTTCTTGCATAATCATCTACTGGCAAATCTATCCAAAAGGCACCATCATTTGTCCCTCCTCCAGGCAAGTTAGAGCCCCAACAATCAATAGGTTCACCTTTAAGCTTGCCATCTGTGTATAGAAGTGCACCATTTTTGAAAAACCATTGCACTGACGACGGCATATAATCTTCATCAGGATGAAAGAAAACTGTTGCGCCATAGTGCTTGATGAGTGCATGAATCTGGTTTAAATTTGGCATTGCATGTAGTGTCGGGTCAAGATTCTTCAAGCACGCAATCTCTAACACCTCGTCTTCAGAAACGAAGTAGTTGCTGCAGAAGAATGTCCCAACAGAAACTCCTTTGCAAAACATTCCCCTTTTGCATGGTCTTGTGTTCCAAACATGAAATGTGTTTGTACCATTGGCAAGTATGGTATCCCCAATCTCACAAGTCTCTGTAAGGTCTTTTCGAACACATCTAACTTCTTCCACGTTAGGCTCCTCTGGGTTGTCAGTAACCAAAATTCCCATTGCTTTGTAACCCACTGGCGGGTTTGGCAGCCAGAAGAAACCACGACCATTACCATGTGAATCTGTACTCCAAATCAATGAGTAGTTAACAGGCATTCTTAGCGCTGGAAGTTCTGAATCTGAGTCATAGTCGCAACAAATGTCTGGACTGGAAGGTACCCTTTCGCGAGCCACAAGAACATACCCTCTCAGTGGCTGGTCATTTGGCTGACAGTAATAACCGAGACAGAAAAATCCATCCGGAATCCCTACAGGTTTATAAAACGTGACACCTTTTCCTTTACCACGCAACAAATTGCAGCTCCAAACACTCTCAAACTTACTAATATTAACCACTTCTAATTCTCCTAGGTTTATTTTTCCAGTAGCAAATCCTTGACCTGAGAAAATGGTAGTACATCATTATCGAAATCAAGTTAGCATATCTAGTCATGATGTTTGAAAGCAAAACTACCACAGAATGATTGGATAAATTAGGTAAGCTTATCAGTTGTTCAAACAGAATTTCTAGGAATGTTAGTTGGCTTGTTTCTTGGTTATCAATCATATCAACAAATAGGCAGCCAAACAACCAAAGCCTGGCCTAGCAATTATTACCCTTTTTAAGAGAAACTATGGTGCTTTCAAGACTAAACCAATAATATTTTAGATTTTATACACTAACAATGCAATTTTTTACTTCACAAGCAGAATGAAAAAGCTGTCATATGTCCCACTTTTTTTTAATTTTCTTTTTTTACTATACTATGTGTCACCCTACTAATCATAACATTAAGATTTAAAAACTACACTGTTAGTGGATGTGATAATGTCCCTACATAAAGCAAGCATCAAAATTTTACTTTCTTTAAAGCAAAGGAAAGGGGCACCTACACCTCTAAGCTTAAACAAATCAAAATACCCAAAAATTCAATAAAAAAGAAAGAAAGCAGAATTAGATTCTAATCTCTTTTAGAAAAGAGAACTCCGTCAAGTATTATAAACTTGTAGCTTTTAAAATTTTGCACTCCAAAATTCAGTGCTGACTACAACTTTCAAGCAGTCTAGAATGTTTTTGACAATAAAAATGTTGAACTTCATGTTCAAGTTGCTTAAGCTATTGCTTTGGTTATCCACCGAAGTACAATACTATATATTAATAACAAATTCTAAAGCTAAAAAAAAAACCTATTGTTAAATTTGGTGCTCTCTAGAAACAAGAAATAACCCTTTAAAAAATGGTGCCAGCTTTTAGAAGTATAGTTGTTTCATTTAATGTTTAAGAACATGAAGGAAATTCCTCCAAGAAAGGGGAAACAAATAAGAAAATAACAAAACTTCAAACAAGGATTAGAGGGGAAAAAAAAAAGATTTCCAAAGTTCCAATGCATCAATGACCCATTAATTTACACACCCAAAGCAAATATTGGGACCATTACAATGAAATAAGAGAGAGAAACCCAAAACCCAAGAGGCATATACGGTAGCATATTCTGGTAGTTAGTTTGTTTATATTTATAATATAAATATAAATATAAAAATAAAACATGCCATAGGATAATTATTCTATTTTCCAAATGGGATAACTAAAATTCTATTTTTTTTTTTAAACTTCTTGTATTATCCAAATAATTACCAAATAATCAAAAGAAAGACAATTTCCAAAGAGGAAAAAAGAAATGAGGGAGGGAAAAGAGAGAAAAAAAAAACCCATATAGTAATCATAATATTTTGAAAGGGAAACAGAAAACACAATTTCAATTTAAGAAGAAAAAACAAAGGAACCCCAAAGACATAAAAAGGAGAATTTTTGGTTATAGCTTGTATAGAAAAGCAAGGGTACCTGGAGGCCATTCTGGAATTGGTGAAGGCAAAGAAAAAGGCTGAGGCAGAGGCAAAGGTAACTCATGATCAGTCTGTCTGTGCCAACAAAAACATTCACACCCCAACATCTTCACTATGCAAACTCTCACAAACTCAAAAAAAGAAAAACCCACAAATTATCTTCAATAATATCACCCTCCTCAAACCCTTCAACTTTCTTTTCTTCAAAAAAGAAAAATCTCCAAGAGAAAGAGAAGAGGGAGGAAAAGAAGAGAAAGTTCAAAGCAATCCCTCTCCCTCTCTATCTCTCTCTCTCTCTCTCTCAAAGGTAACCAACAAATTAACACAAGTTCTTCTTGGAAAACAAATTATTAGAGAAAAGTTTCGACTTGGGTTTTTAATAGAGAAGAGATGTTTTGGTTTAGATAGAAAGCTTGATGATGGTGATGATATTTATGAAATGTCTTGATTTTTTTTTATAGCTTGCTTTGCTTCAAACCAATTCATTCTAGGAAACCTCCCCCACGCTTTACCTTAGCATTTGACATCAAAATAATGCTACTCTCAGTTTAAAAGAGATTGTACTTCACTCTCCTTCCTTTCCCTTTAATCATTTTGCATTGCCCTCTTACCAACTTTTCAATTTTCCAATTATGATCCCACATTTTGGCTCTCGCTTTGTATTCTTTACGTTGAATCCCTATTTGATAAAATTTTTTTACTTTTTATACTCTTATTTCAAATTTTAATAATTGAAAATTCATCATATCTATTTTTAAGTGGAATTTTTATACTTAATAAGTGCATTAGTAAGATGATATATATTTTTATAAAGTATATTAAAAATTATTTAAAAATTAATATATTAATAAAAATATATTTATTAATTATTTAATTTTATGAAATTTCATTATAATTAATTAAATTTAAAATTATATAAAATTTATAAAAAAATTATTATATAAAATTTACATTTATAAGAGAAGGACTCTTATATTTTAATTATAATTCAATAATTATTGTAGTAAAAACAAATATTGTACATGAAATACTTTAAAAAAACCAAACTCTTAATAATTATTCTCTTTTTATCTAAAATTCTTTCTTTCATGACATGACTTAAAGTAATGATTCATAGAATGGATCAAATTTACTTGATGAAAGTTTATAAAAGATCCATATCTAAAAACTTTTTTTTTTTTTAATTATAAAAGATCCATATGTAAAACTAAGTGGATTTAAAATATATGTTACAATGTGAATATTTTAGGTTGTCTTGTGAAAATAAAAAAAAGATTAAAGATGAAAAGGAAATTATAATTAGGAACAAAGAAATAGATCAAGTTTAATTGTTTTTTCTTGTCCTCAAAATTAAATATAAAGACTATCTATCTTCTTTCGTTTGTTATAGCAAATCATAGTAAAAACAAAGATTAAAACATGTGAACATTTGAAATTAATTAAGGTTTCATTTTAGAATATGATTAAATTATTTTTATCGCATAAAATATATATTTTATGGTTGAATCTCACCAAGAATTTCATTTGAAAAATAATAGTTTTAGTATAATTTTTTCCACTTAAAAATAAAATTAAAACAGATTATAGATTGTAATTCACGCGCCTTAAGACGCGTAGAGGTTCTGTTCATCTTTTTCAAAGTATATGGGGTGCCCTTAGCGAAGGCTCACTTTAAAAGAGCGAAAGAAATAAACACTGTATTTTCAACCAAAGGTACTATTTTTATTTTCAAATTAAAAATATTTTTATTAAACCTGTTTATTTTGTCATTAAAAAAACAATGCATTGTATATTTCATTGAAAAAAAAAAAAGAAAAACTTAAGAATTGTTCTTGTGAAAGAAAAAGAGTCACTTCACTCTTTTCGATTTTTTTTTTGTTTTTTATTGAAATGAGTTGATATTTTTATAAAAAAAAATATAAAATTAAAATAAATTATAAATATTAAAATTTAAATATTAAATATATTAAATATTACTTTTGAAAAATAATTGCATGAATGATAATCTCCAAATTCTTTGTCTTTTCTTCTTTTATACAATGAATTAATTTCTTGTTTTAGAGCAAATAAATCATTTTTATATAACTTTATTATCCATATAAATCATATATTTAGTGGATGGTCTATTCATATATTGAGTGCTTGTCACTCTCTAATAAAAAGATAATTATTATTAATTTTAAGTTGGGTCTGCTTTATAATTATAAATTCATAATGATGGAAGGACCACTAAACCAAAAGTCTCCTAGTACCATTTGCCCATGCCAAGGCCATCAAACAAAAATTAAAAGCGTATAGCCACTACACCTTGTGAGACATATGCAATTGAGAAATGCCTCTCATAATTTATGTTATACTTGTACACACATAATGTAATAGCCCTCATAATTTAATTTTTATATTAAAAATCTCAAGTTTAAAAGCATGAAATTTTATCTAAAAATTTTGAATTTAAGAATGAAAGAAATATGATTTATGATATAGAAGATAATTATCTTAAGATAACTAGTAAAATTCAAAATTCTTATATTAAAAAAGAATGATAAGGGTAAAAGTGGGAAAAAAATGTAAAAAACTCAAGTCTTTTTCCTTTTTGGTGCTCTTTTGACTCTTCATTTAATGTATAAAACAATTTAGGTTCATTGATTGTTCATATGATATGAACTAACAAATTGGATAAATTATGAGTCCTACTTGATAAGTAACAAATATGATACGAATGACTTAGCAACCTTTATGTATCCTCAATGAGCTTATTTTTTGTTAGAGCTAAATCTAATTAATTCTTCAATACTTTTTTTAATATTATTTGAGATATTATTTTTATTTTTCATGAAAATTTTATTTTTGGATACTTTTCTAGTAGTTGTAAATTTGTAATTAAATAATTAAGTGATGTGCATTAAACAATTTCTAAAAATTATAATAATAAAATTAAATATTAGATAGATTTGATAATTTATGTCACCGTATCGTATAAAATATTATATTCGTATTATATTTTATAAAAAAACATGTCACAATTCGTATCGACATAAAAATATAAAATATAATTTTTTATTTTATTAAACTTATTTATAATTTTTTAAAAAATTTTAAGTTGTGTTATATCTGTATCTTTTATTTATATCATTTTTTATTGTATCATTATATCATGTTTTAAATTATTAAATCTAATGTTAAATGATGGTGTTGTTCAAAAAAACAAAAATTAAATCATAAAAAGAAATTATTAATAAAAATCTCAAATAGAATAAAAATAAAATGCTGATTAAGGCAAAGCACAAGAGTAAATTTAATAATTCGTACATTTTTATTATATAAAATATTGATAATTTGTATATATATATCATATTTTATACAAAAATTATATATTACAATTTATGTTTATACAAAAATATGAAATAAATTTTTTTGATTTTGTTAAATTCATTTATAATTTTTATTATAATTTTAAATTATATTATTTTTATATCATTTTTATATTTTTTATTTATATTATTTTTATATAATATTACTATATTGAATTTAATATTAATATTCCTACGTGAGAAGAGTTCTTATATTCTTATGCTGCCTTAGTTCGAATTTGGGCATAACAAACGGAAAGGTGGAGAATAAGGTATTTGTTTCTATCTTTCTCTTTATGCTTTTTTTTTTTTTTGGTTTTTTCGTTTGCTTTTCTTTCTTCATTTCATTTGGTTCAAAAAATTATTAATTTAGAAAAAAAAAATGAAATCAAGGTTACAAGATGCTCATCAAAAGAGCATATGCTGCTGCCAACCAATGTTTCAATAATTGAGTCGGTGACCGAATTTGTTGGATAATCATCCCATAGGCAATTAAAATTTTATTAAATTAACACATATAATATTTGAATAAATTACGTCAGATCTAACAATCTACATGTGTGTGGACAAAAAAAAATGCAATAATTTTTTGCAGTCATCCTAAAAAATTAATATAAAATAATTTAAATTCTCTAAGATTTGAATAATAGAAATTATAATAAATAATTGCTTTAATAAAGAATGATAATTGTCATAAAACGCAAGATACAATAAAAAAAATAGCCGTTGAAATATTTTAATTTAGAAATATCAAAATGGATACTATCAAGGACGGAGTCAAATCCTCATTCACATTCATAATTCAGAAATACTTTATAAAAAAAAAAAGAAAAAAAAAACCCAAGATGCTTTGGAATTTGGATCTTTTCATCATATGCTCTTATCCTCGTCACGTTCCAATCAAATTGGACGCCAATCCTCTACAATTTTCTCATACCAATTTTGGGTTGCTCCTCAGACACCATTGGATCCATGAATCGTTTAATATCTTGTCCTAATCTTATCATTTGCATGAGTCACACAAATTGTCCTTATCAAAATGACCTTTTGTTTGTCAGTTTGGTTCAAAAAAATTTATTTCACGGCCGCCCGATTAGATTTCAAAGTTCAAACACTCTTCAAAAAATTAATGTCAAGACTCAAGATAATAAATATCTTCCACAAGCTGAATAGAAATTGATAAACCAGCAGCCCCATATTGGATTGTTGGAGTATAATAATTTCGAAAGAATGGAAAAGTTTGGGTCGGTATAAAAAATATAAGTGTAAGAAAATGAAGGGAAAATTATTAAGGAAAGATGTCAAACAAGAATCAAATATTTATCAATTGTACATAAATGCCTGGTTTTGATTGATTTTTTGGTTTTTAAAGTTATTAAAATTTAAAATTTGATTATTAACATTAAAATTTTAATATTTTATTAATACATTATGTGTATGTTAATTTATTGTTTGATTTTGATTTTTTATTTTTATATTTGAGTTTTTTTTTTTTTTTTTTGCTACAAGGCTATGAAATTGGGTTAATTGAGAATGATACAATATGATTAGGATTTAATTGACTTCTTCAATTTTGGACTAACTTTATGCCTATTGTAATGATAATATTAACGTGGAAAGGCTTTAAGACTTTTTTATTTTGACTAAGAACTAGTAAAGAGACTCGTGTGTATAAATAATATATTTTTTATGGGATTTTTTTGTGGGATTCGTGTGTATAAATAATATATATTTTATGTTTATACACGTTTGAAGATTGAAATGCATGTTGAACATATGTTTAACCTTTTTTTTTTTCTTGGTTTATTTAAAAAAAAAAAAAACTTTTTTCTTGGTTTAATGGGGGCTTAGAAGAGGCTTTCATTTCTCATTTCCTTTTATTGGGCTTCAATTTTTGTCAGGTTTTGTCTCTGCTAAAGCGGGCCTTTGTTCAAGAGCATCATTATTTTTAGCCCTAATCATAGATGTGTGATTTAAATTAAAATAAAACAACTGAAAATTTTGAAAAAATAACTTTTAAAAATTTCAAATATTTTAAAATTAAATAATTAATTAAAATAAAATTATTATTTTAGGTTTCTTCATATTTTCAACTCATTATTGTTCAATTAAGGAGGTCGTGGATGAAAACGAAATAAATTAGCTTCTTCCTTTTCAATAAACGTTAGGCTAATTTTCCTGGTCACCTCTTTGCGATGAAAATGCCTATGACAACCACAGGCTTCACAATCAAGATCAACAATACGTCTCGTTTCGGACCTTCCTTTCGGGGCAAACTCGCCGCAACCATCGACAACATTGACACCAAGTTGAGTTGCATGGTTACACATGCACTCTTTGTATTTAACGTTGATTGTTTTCGTTTTCCTCTCTGTCATCTCAAATGGAGGCTTGAAGGGCTTTCGTTCTAAGAAATTGTTAGCCATTAGAAAAGGGAAAATAGAAAGAAAATAGAGAGAAGGCAGGGCTGACACAGAAGGCAAGTGTGATGATTAAGCGTTAAGGCGAGAGCTAGTGAGCGTTAGAAAATGCATGTGTCTGAAAGACTTTAAAGATTCTTTTACCTTTTCATAAATTTTTTTTATAAAATTTTTCGAATTCATTGTTTTACCATTTTTGTAAAGAAAATTGAAGGTATTGTGGTGTGTTTGTTTTAACAGAAGAGGAAAATAAAAGAAATGATATGTTAATTAGAAATTAGTGAAGACAAGTGATTTTCAGTACCAAGAGACAGAAAGGGGATATATGCAAATATATTTCAACTTTAAATCTTTTCGTAAAAGCCTGATTTGAAAGTTGAAACCAATTAGCTATATATTTAAGTAGCAAGAGAAAAATTTTTTATTTGATATGCTGTAAGAGTATAAATGTAATATCAACCACATAAGGATATTTCATAAAAGAATTAATTTTAAAAATTTTAAATTCTAAAAAATAAATGCACTTAATCATAAAAATATATTTAAAATTATTTTTTTATGAAATGTCATTATGTAATTTACTAGAGTGTAAAACATCTAATGCTTATATAAATATAAAAAAAAAATCATGTCAATTTTGCACATATATATCAATATACAGGGAAAAAAGTTTTAGGTGGCATAAAATAAAATATTTAAGCATTTTTGTTTTAAATTTCTTCCTTTTTTTTTTTTCCTTCCCTATATAAATCATCTCATCTTTTAATCTCCCAATTTGGTCACCCCTTAATTTCTACCTCATTGTAGTGCAATCATTAGCCATCACGAGTGATGACTGTGCTTCTTTGTGCATTTCTTTCTTTTCTTGACAATTTTCATGATTTCTCCAGAAGTTTCTCATATCATATCCATCTAGAACGATCTAGCAATATTTAACAAGTCAATGCAATGGTAATTTAGTATGGTTAAATAAATATTTGATAATTTACTTCAAGGAAATTTAAACTTAAATGCGACACCAATGTGTACTTACTGTCAAAATCATACATAAATAATCGAAATCAAAATGAAAGATTTAATCTTAGTAGAAGTCTAGCAGAGATGCAAATACAATTAATATATCTTTTACAACTATATCTCATGCTCATGGCATGCTTGTGTTATGGGTCGAGATTTAAGCTTTAGGTTCGCGCAGCTCTAAGATTCGGACATAAGTTCTTTCAATATCCTAGATCAACTTATCTATCATAGTTCATACTCTTATGAAGTATTATTCACTTTGATTTCTTTTGAATATTTCAATTTTATCCTATAAAAAGTGCTTTACCAAAAAAAAGTGGTATGAATTCTTATATTTTAAGATCAACTCTAATACATAATCGATGTGAGATTCATGACTCCTCTTTGAGACTGCTGTGACACTTACGTAATTAATTTGTAAGAAAAGAAAAACTAGCTTTGATCTCTTGTTCTATACCTCAATTAAATGTTTCAGAAAGATTCAAACAACAGTTTGGCTATAACTATCATCCACAGAGCTTAAATGACAAATTTTATTGCTGCCATTGCCAATGCCATATTTCTTCTTACTTCCACCACAGGTAATCGAAATTTCTAATCCAAAGCGTTACTAAAACATGACAACGACTTCGTACCATCACTGCTCTTCCCCCTTGATCTCTTGGACCATTTGCTCGATTTGGCTTTCCCGGTCAGGGGTGGAATTTTGGACCCCAACCGCTCTAGCTTCATGTCTAGGTCTTCTTCTCTCTCTTTCTTGGTCCATTCCCTTATTTTTCTTGATTCGTTTAATTGAGCTTGAAGATTAATTGCTTGTGGTTTATACAACCCTTTTGCAATGGCTGCAGCTACAACCGAAGCTGAAGCTCCACGTCCGAGCAACAAAGAGAGTCACCATTCACCATGCTACCACTGCCTTTACCCGCTGAACAATCATTAACAATCGATCCCATTTTAGGCCTTTTATCCGAGTTATCTTCCATTAATGTTAACTCGGTTCGGTCGCTTTGTGAACGGCTTATCTTAGCGATTGCATTTGACTTGTGATTTTGTGACTCGTTATTCTCGTAATTCTCCTTGGTTTTGCTGGTTGTTTTTAGTTCAGGGTCTTCTGGCTGAGGCATGCTGCAGATGGTACTATCGATAAGGGCAACCTCCATGTTGAGAATACCTTGGGGGCCGCCAGAGGGACGGCGGACGTGACGGTTCTCGTGGCGGAGTTGTTGATCTTGGCGTCGGCTACAGATCGCAAGTGGAAAATATCATTGATGAGGACGTTAACATATCCAATCAGGGCATCTTTAACCCACGCAGCCGAATAAATCTCAACACAAATAGTGGCATCCTCAGAGTTTAGAAAATTGTCATCGACTCGGAACATGAACCTGTCATTCCAAGATGGATCGGTTCCGCCAATTTGGTCTACCCCTGTGGTCAGCTTGCGGTCCTGTTGGATCCAAGCAACAGCGTAGGTCTTCATATTTTTGCATACCGGGGCTAGGCCTTCAGCTGAAATGAGGTTGATCTCTAGAATTCTGGAATGAGTAGGAGGAGGAACCATTGTAGTTGGTTGAGACTTGGAGGCGCAAGACTCACCGATGACAATCTACGGAAGATGCACTAGGAACTCATCATCAAGGGAGGGGACATAAATATGGGAAGGAGGATTTGGGGCGAAATGGTAGGATAACATGGTTTTTAGGCCATGCCTTTATTTCTAACAGGGTTTGTTATTTTGTTCAAGTATAAGTTATTACTATGACTCTCTAGAATCTAAAATTTCTATTTAAACTTCACAATTCTTATAAGTTTAGATAAGCTTACATTATTTAACAGTTAACTGTTTATTTTCAAGCGGCAATGGGTTCTTAGATTTCGTTCAATTGTAATTTTTCTCGGTTAGTCTTGGTCTAAGCAGGCTTATCTATACACCAGTCAACAGTATTGAATTCTGCATTTTTAAGTAGAACAATCTATAACGAGGATTAAGGAGGGTTTTTGATTAGTGTTTAACTTCTGCAACTGAAAATTCAATTATGTCATATGTACTTGTATAGGTTTATGTGACTTGATCTGCAACTTTAAATTTGCTAAAAGTGTAAAATTTCTTGGTATTATTAGTAAAAAAACTAACAGGAAAATTACTTTCTTTTCAATGGTAGCCAAATTAGAGCATTTCTAGAACCATTTCAAGCTCAATTTGGCTATTGTTGACAAGAATACGAGTGATTCAGTTGATAGAAATTTGAGTATACTAAAAATAATTCAAGCAGTTATAGTCATGGATGAGTATGAACAGCTTAAGGGAGAAATTCACAATTGCTTTGAAACTCATTGCTGCCCAAGATTTGAAGGAAATAATAATGGGATAGAAGCAAAACTCTCATCAATCATTTGTTAGGTTGAAAGATTTTGCTTAACAAATATTAGATGTTTAAAAACCAGAACTAGCCAATATTCCGAATAATTAACATTTTGTTTCTCAATCTATATGCTGCTGTAATTGAACCGATTTTTGAATGAGAAACTTGAATTTCTCCTCTGTTTTTCTCTTGCATGTGTTGCAAGTGTAGGTCATCCTCTTGGTAAAAAGCAAGCTAGATTTTTGGGCATAACAGTGTGATTGCAGATACTGAATCGGTAAGAGGGTAGATTGTGTGTGTTGTAGACAATTTTTTTGTTGCTTGCTGATGTATTTTGCACATTAAAAGGGTAAAACTAACACAATACTAGTTTATCTGTTGCCTCATCCGCATACCAATAGTGTTTTTTTTTGTGTTTTCTTAATTACCTTTAAGTAGTACATATTCTGAGAGAATGGTTGGCCAGAGTCCAACTCAATGACAGGGCTGACAGCTCGGAAGTCCTATGTATTATAGGTAGACTTATTCCTTTTCACAATACTTCCCCTGGTCGAAGATGTATAGCTAAGGCTCTTTACCCTTTATATTTCAGCGCAACCAATGATTTTATTTTTCCATAAGAAAGGAGGTATCGCTATCCTAGATCACTGGTCTTTTTCATGTATATATATATATATATATATATATATATAATTTTTAACTAGAAATTTCAGGTTCATCAATACAAGAAAAGGTAAAATGAGAAAATTATATGATCAACAAGTTTCCCACAGTTAGACAAAAGTAGGCAGGAAATATGAAACCAAAATCCCAGCTCCTTAAGTCACTTTCCCAACAATTAACTATCTAAGCGGATGATATTCAAAGAGCTGATTCATTCTATTGTCGCTTTTCTTCTGAAAACAGAAAATTAATGTTGTCATAAACCCAACAAAAGAAAGTACAAAACCAACTTGAACAACCAAATCTCCACATGGAATTATGGATTCAACCTTGAAATCATTTTCTCTCCTTTGTCAAACGCTAACCCTTTTAGCCTTTTCGCAGATTGTAATTCTACCAAATGCAGAAATCACTTCAGATTATAGTACCTTAATATACAAGAACTGCACAAGCCAAAAATTTACAGATTCAACCAAATCTCACTCTGACTCGCTTTCTTCCTTTTTACAAAAACTCATAACGAAATCCTCCCAAGAAAAGTTCTACAAAACTACCGCAGGAGATGATAACAATGGCATTTCAGCCCTCTTTCAATGCAGAGGTGACTTAAGCAACAATGGTTGCTGCAAATGCATAACCTCACTCCCTGAGATGTCTAACAATTTGTGTAATAATGCTGTTTCTGCCCGGATTCAGCTACATGGCTGCTATGTTCACTATGAAGCTGATGAGTTCATTGAGGAAAGTTCATACGAGTTGCTTCACAGAATTTGTGATGAGAAAAGGCGGTTATTCTCGGGTTTGAAGAGGTGAGGGATGCAGCATTTGCAGCAGTGGAAAGTGATGTGACAGATGGAGATGGATTTTGTAAAGAAAGCTATGAACTGATGCAGGCCATTGCACTGTGTGAAGGGGATTTGGGACCTTGTGATTGTGGTAAATGTGAGTATTTCAGTTCAGATTGCTCAAGAAGGGTGTGGTACCTCACTTTCAGGCCAAATTTATTTGGACAACTGTTTGATTAGCTATGGTTACTATCCAAATGGAATACCAGACAACTTAAATCAAGGTAAACTGAAGATGATGAAGTGAAAATGGAATTGAAATAGGAAAATTTTCAAGTGTTTGATTTTATTTCTTTGATTGAGACATGCAAAACATGGCATTGCTGCCATAAACATGTTGGCTAAAAATCATCAATTGTGTGATAATAACTAAAATCCATGTCATGTTCTAGTGTGTCAGAATTAATTTTCTGTTGATTTAATTGAACATAATAATTTAGCCTTTTTTGTTTCCATATTCCATTTTGTTTTAACAAATACTGATGGCAATTTTTTGACAGGAAAAGGAGGTCGAAATAATAATTCGGGCAAATTGTTAGCAATTGTGTTGGGAGGGGCTGCAGTTTGTTCTTTGGCTACATATTCTTGTTGCCTCTAAAAAAATTAGGAAAGAAGGATGATGGTATGTAAATCTTTAAAAACTAACATTAATATCTCAAGTTTAATATTGCTTTACCTTAATTATTCAGTAATAATTAGGAATGTCAATATATCACAAGCCGAGACCCAATTTCCATACCCACGCGATAGTAGGATTCGGACTTGGCCTCATCTGACATTTTAGATTAGCCTAACTGTTACAGTTCAGGCCCTTGTGAGGTATTATCCACTTCGGCTCTCCTGGCCTCATAGTTTTATCTCACAAAAGGTGTATCCAACACAATAAGACAACATTAGTAAGATACATTGAAGTGGTGCTTACCTTAGCAGCATCGTCCTGCATGCTTGTGGCTCGAAAGTACTGCTGCATCCCCATAAATAGTTGTCTACTTTTTTAGGCGCCTTAATCCCCTTGAACTCCTTGGGCTAGGGAATTTCCACACGAGTCTTAGACACTCTAGCAATTATGCCATTCCCAATGGCTATCTTGCAAGTAGAGAGTTCCTCCTTGAGCTCCTCCATCTCCTTGCACATAGTCTCCACTTGGGCCTCCAAGGCTTCATTGCACTAGGTGATCATGTCAATAGCCTTTTTCAGAGCCGCTTGCAGCTCACCTTTGAGCTCTTCCTCCATGGAGTCCAACGCCTCAATATGAGTCTCCACCTTGTCAAGCTTCTCCTTCACATCGCCCACTATTACCTCTACCTTGGATAGCTTCCCATCCATGGTAGACTAAATGTCCCTCGAACTAGCTTTCTTTCCTCTTCCATGACCTTGCTTTTGGGCCTCTAGTTGTTGACTAATAACATCACTTTAGATGCCATTTTAGCGAATGCCTTGAGTGCGATTTGAACACCACCGAACAGAACTTGTACCAAATCTGCTTTGATATCACCTATCGTAGGCTCGAATCTTTAAACTAAAATCCGCATAACCTTAAACTAGGATTGAGCTTTTCATGTTTAAGTCAGCCTATGAACCAAGCTGCGGGCACTAGACCAACTAGAAAGGCAGAATACCCAAGTTAAGAGAGAACAAAAGAATGCTAGAATATGCAGTATATGAATAGTGTCTGGTGATGTACAACTGAAGATGACCTTCTATTTATAGTTGAGGCCTCTAGCTCTATTTTTGGCTACTTCTTAAAATCAAGGGATTACATGATTCCTAGAATTAATGGATTACATATTAACGTATAGATTACATCATGATTATAAAAATCCCCTCTTAATTTTTAGGGTTGACCAGATCTTCCTATTAAATGCTATTGATCTGGATGGTTTTGGACTAGCCAAGTTGGCCATAAGTACTCGGGCCTCAACTCTTAATGCACCTCCCCAAGCATGACAAATAGATAAGGTATAGAGAAGGTAAAGCATTCCTCATCTCCATTTTCGAATTTTTATATTATATCTATTCTTTAACCCATACTTAATGGGTATTTCAAATCTATCTATATTTTTATCTCTGCGGATATTTAATAGGTATAGATGATCTCCATACCTGTAGCTTTTTTTTTAAAAATAAAAACCAAAATTTATTTTTTAGCTTTTTTACTTTTATATTTTGTAGTTAAATAATTTTTTATAAAGATATATTAATATATATTTTTTCAATAAAAATATCTTAATTTTAATTAATCTAAAATAATAATTTATATTATTTGATAAAAAATTTATTTATTAAATATATATAAATTTATAGATAACGTGTGGGTACAAGGTGGTTGCTTTATTATCCATTCCATCCTCATATTATAATATAATATCCATCCATATCCCTATTCGAAAAAAAAAAAATTTTTTTTTTATTGAATATGAGTAAATTTGACATTTTTAATAATAATTAATTGAGAAAATTATTCTTTACATTATTTTTTTATTGAAGGCCAAAATTAAATCTGATCGCTAAGAATTAAGATCAATTCAACAATTTACCAATATACTTACTGTTTAGTGTTACAGTATTTTACTGTGGTGAATTAATTGGTTGCAGATTGTCGAAAAGACATCAAAAGGAGACATACCTTAAATTTTCATTGCAAAGGATGGTTCCTCAGCAAATCCTTCTTGCTTTGAAAAGAAAAATTA